AGAGATTTTCAGAGGTAGAGTAGGGGCCCTAGTAGCTGTCTCTTATACACATCTAGATGTGTATAAGAGACGGGAGAGAGAGAGAGAGAGAGAGAGAGAGAGAGAGAGAGAGAGAGAGGTCTTGGTGAGGAAGAGAGATGTGAGACTGAGGGGGAAACCAAACATACCTGATAGAGTTTGCGTGTGCCCATAGCCGCACCTTCTTGTATGAAGACAATTTTGTGTAGTTGAGTTGCATTTCACCTGTGCTTTGACGCGTGTGCATCATATGGTTTGTGCGTGGACTGGGAGTGTGGTGGGTAGGTCTCAAAGCAATTTAGCGTACAAGCCGACTCTCGTTACCCCTTGTGAGTAGGTCCAAGTGGAATAACAAGTTAGTTCCGCATGTACAAGTCAGCTAGGAGGTCATGTATGTTGTTGCTTGGTAGAGGCAGCCTGCTGAAAGCTTGAGTCTGTGAAGTAGCAGCATGGGTGTGAGAAGTGGATAGTCTTGCTGGCTTACCTAGGGGCATTTGTACCCAGTTGGACACTACCGTAAGGAAACACCATGATTAGCCTTGAGGAGGAGTGTTGACCTATCTAAGCCTTGAGGGGCTGACCTATCTAAGCCTTGAGGGGGAGTGTTGACCCTGCCCAGCCACGTCGTCCTGTACGCAACGTTAAATAATTCCTGAGGACAGTTTGGCCTGTCCTCAAATTGGTTACTGGATGGATACAGGTGTCTTCATAGATAAGGTAAACGGATTACTAGTTGGAGTCAACACTTTTTAGGTCTGCTTGTGGCTAGGTCTCTATTTGGTGAGGTAGTGGAACGGGGGGCCAGACTTTGATGGCCTCTTGTGCTATTGGTAGCCATGGATGACTACCCCATGTAAGCATGCATCACCCTCTGAGTTTTTCTTTTTTTTTGAAAAAAAGATCCATGTCGTGGTAGAGGATGGATGCTAGGCCTCGGGAGGTGTTTGTCGTCGTAATCAACCAGTGAGGGGATCAGATGGCTTGTGACAACCCCAAGGACAGTCTTCCTCCAGGGGCTGTCATTCATGACCTGTTATATCCTAATCTTATCGCAAGTCGAGCCCTACAGTGGTGCGACCCAGACCTCTCTATCTAGACCTAGACCTACACCAACCCGCGCCTTCCAAGGAGTCGTAGACACTTCCCCCCAGGCGCTTACTATAGGGACACCCCGAATCTCGAGTGCGACCCGGGTTAAGGAGGGTTCACGGACATAAAACGATCATCCCCCCCCTGATTCAAATTGTGCAGACTCTATGGGTGGCGACGCCACCCTTCTACATCAATGCGACAACCCTCACCCCCCTGTCTGAGATGACAACCTACCTAGAAAAACTTCCCCAGACTAACGCCCCATTTGACCCCTCAGTGGGAACTCAGACAGACACCATCCCGGACGAAGCCCTGCCCACAAGCATCGTGAGATCAACCTGAAGCCCACCCGTGGGAATCGTATATGCCTAACACCCAACCACTACCACTACTCAAGGGGATGTAGAGAGTGGGGTCTACTCGGGACCTAGGATCGTACGATGTCGATATGGACTCTCGTGGGTGGATCATGAGGCCGGGAAATAACCATGGTACCCAGACGCACCCAGATACACCCACAGAGCAGCCCATGCGAATGAAGCGGCATGCACAGACAGGCCCACAATCCCCACACAGAGTCTTATCATCCCAACCCCCATCTATCCCCTGTACCCCCGCCCATGATGAGTACAAAAGACAGACTTACAGATCATCGGACCATACTCAACACACAGCCCACACACAAACACTCAACACTCATCAGACCCCTAAAGGCCAACCACTGAAACAATCCTCCCCCCAAAAGCCCGCTACCAGCATACCACAATCATGGAGCTAACCGGTTGGGTGGTGCGCAAGCACTGTCTGTAATAAGTACCATGAGTCAGCCCAGGGGGGGTGTGCGAATGGGTGGGCGCTATGAAAGCGCCTAACGGCGGATGTGCGCGAGGCCGCAGAGTTTTGAACATGCGACCTCATACCACAATGCACATTTCCAATGGGTGCTCTAACCACTGAGCCACCAGGCCATTTGCCCCTCTGAGTTTTTCTACACCCCCTCCAATTCTTTTTCCTATAGGATTTTCCCGCATGAGCTAGTCCCAAAAGAAGATCTGTAGTGGATGGGAGATCCCTTCATATACAGACCCATGACAAGAGGGTTTCAAACCTAACGTGAGACGAGCTGTGATATTGCTATGCGTGAGAGTGACAAGCATGAAGGGGGGGCAGGAGAGTGGTGGGCTAACCTGATGGCACTCTCTTATCAGGTTGAGGATGAGAGTGCAGTCCTCGATGGAGAGAGGGCATATGCCACTGATGACGCAGGTGAGTGGGAACTGGAGTGGGGGCCATTGGCAACGGCGGAAACGGCGGCAGCAGCAGCGGAGACCGCAACAACGAAAGAAGAAGCAAATACAGCAACGGTAACAACAACAACAACAACAACAACAACAACAACAACAACAACAACAATAACAACAACAACAGAGATCGATGTCGACGGCGAGGCAGGTGAGTGGGGAAAGGAGTCGGGGCTAATAGCAATGGCAGGTCAGTTGGAGGTGGAGTTGGGGCTAATGGCAACTGTGGTGACGACAACAGGGAAAATAGAGACAACGACAGCCACAACATCAACAACAGCAACAACAACAACACCGAGCGTGATCGCAACAACAGCAACACCAACAACAACAGCCAAAACTAAAGAAGCAACAACAACACGGGTAACGCCAACGGCCGCTATAACAATTGAGGCAAAGATGGTGACAACAGCATCACCACCATCACTGCAGTGGGGGGGAAATGGTGGCTTTTTTGGGCGGGCAAGGTGGGGCGCAGGGTTGAAGGCGAGTTCTACTGGTCCCCCCATTTCCTTCCTGCTGTTTTTCAGGATGATTCATATTTTGCTGTCTGGTGCCGAGCAGGAATAGGATAGATGATATCCCCCTCGTTGACTGGGCTTGATTGGCCTGTAACGAAGTGGGGTCGATTGTCCCAGGACATGTGTGGTTTAGGGTTCTGAGCTTTGATTGTTTTTTTTCTTCGATGGGTTGAGCGATGAAGATGCTTGTTGCTACTTTCTTGTCGGGATCATACTCCATGAGCACGAG